TAATCGTGCTCTATAAATTGCAAACCTATTTAGGGCATTTTTGGCTTGCCTTTTGCAGGAAAAAAAAAAGCGCCGTACAAAGCTCACTTAGCACAGAGAGCGACGCGACCGTCCTTAGGCCTAATCCCTTTCACGATATCACCGTCCGAAAGCGGACCACGGACGACGGTGGGACGGATGCAGTCGCTAGTAGTCGAATCTAGTGGTTTTTACTTTAGACACCACCGCAGACAAACTTGGTGGTTTCTACACTCGACACCAAAGCTTTCAACGACAAGACGTTGTCAAAAGCAAACTGATCTGCTGCCAAGCGAAAATCGCTCGCACTCCATGCTATGGCCTAGTGGCCAGTTGACTTCAGTTTTGTCACCGTTGCCCAGCCGTGGGACGGTAACAGCTTTTCCGAGGAGGAACCTCTGCTCACCTGCACCACCACTCCCAAGCCCAGGGTGGAGTGTGAGTCCACCTGCCTGATCTTGGCGTGGCAGTCACGGAAGTTCAGCTGCATGATGCGCCGGTGGATGTCATGCTGCCCCGTCACGCACGGCTGCTTTTCGGGGCCCCCGTGCACAAACGACGAGTCCTGACTGTAGAACCTGCATGGCCCACAAAAAGACTCAGCTCCAGGAGAGAGGGGCAGCCTACATGCAACCACAGAACGGGCTAATCGGCCAACCGGGTGCAGTCATCGCTATGAAACTCTACACAGGAAAAGACTGGAGGTACGGATTAAAAGGGGCTAGTGACTCAATCCATTGCCCTTTTGTGAATTATATGTAATCTTGATCATCACAATTACATGCTTTCCAGCTTACGAGTCAAAATTTAACTACGGATGGAACCTAATGAGCCTCTGCTCGCACAGCTATGTGCAAGACTTGGCAGACAGGCTTTCTCAGAAGTTGATTGTCAACACCACTCGGGCAGACCTGGAGGACAACAGGCATTTTGTCCGCCTGCAAGAGCTCAGACGCAAATTACTTCATCATGGAAATGCCTCGCCGCCATTCACTACTACAGCCGTCGCGTCCAGCGACCAGCACGCAATCAAAAGAAGCCAACGTGAAAACGCTTAAAAGGCAACGAAGCACATGCTATATTCTATTACCAGTGAGGGCACCCACACCCTGCAACAAAGTGCACTTCTGGCAATGGAGTGCATTGAGAGTGACCACCAGCAGCGGCACATACACCGAAGCTGACATTCATCGCAGTTGCGAAGACTTTAATTACAAGTTTAATTTTACGCAAGTTCTAATGTGCCACTGCAAAAGGATGTTCTAAAACCAAACCAACATGTTTTTAATTCATACAAATCCACTGACAGCAAACAAAAATTACACATTCAAACAAAGCCTAGGTGATCATAAAAAAAAAAAAAAAGGATGTGGCTTAGCTTGAAAATTAATGAAGACACCACACAGATGCTCCGTAAATTATTGATTGGGAAGACTCGCATAGGACATCTTAAAGGGGCACTGACACCCCAAAGGTCAAATTATTTTTTATTGTCTAAGACGATGCAAGTTGCAGTCATAGACATGCAAAAAGACCGCATTGCGAAAAAAATTTTCCCCGCGCGCGCGCACGCCTTTTTATTTTTGGCGTTTATATTTCCTGCGCTCACCTCCTTGCTTCTTTTGATCGGTGACAACAAAAATCAGGAAATTTAGAAGCTTTGTAAGCTAAATTTCTATCAAATTTAATAACGGCAATCGTAAAACATGTTTCTTAACGCAATTGCGAACGCACTATGGCCCCTCTTTCTGAAATACCAAAAATCAGATTTCGGTGTGATGTCGCGTCCTGGATTTGTATCCTCCCTCTGAAAACTTGGCGGCGCTCGAGCAGAGGCTTATCGGTGAGACGGAGAAGAAACAGTTTTTTTCCCGCGCCGGTTTCTATCCCGCCTGCTCACCTCCTCATCGCCTCGGGTTGCTGTGGTAACGGCGAAGGTCCCAAAGAAAGTCGAGTCGCAGGAGACCGCAAAAATTTGACTCACTGCACTGGTGCAAATCACGCGGGAACTTCAAGTTCGGCATTTGGAAATTGATTTTTTAATTCAGACATACTGAATTCCCAAGTTTCGAATATCGAGGGCAATGTCCCGGCATCGTTTTCAATCGTTTCGGATAATAAAGAAAAATATGATTTTGATGTGTCAGTGTCCCTTTAAATGAACTGCAAAATAGAAGCCGACAATAAAAAAAATGGGATGATCCTTTTCTCTAGTAAGATTGCAACATCAGAATGATATCAACTTTTCCACAAAAGCAACCAGTGCTGCAAATGGCTATTAGCTATGGTGGGCTCCCCTCCAATTGGCTACTTCTGAGGATCTCCAAACTCAACCAGGATTAACTGCTAGCATGATAGTCCTGCTCATGTTGCTAGCTTCCAGAATGACAATGACAAAAATGAATTAAAAAAAGAAAAAATTATAAACTTTTTTTTTGTGTGTGTGTGCGCAAAACACTGAATGTCTAAAGGATATTGCTCAATGCTTTACGAAGACAGTAGGTATAGTACTAGGAATAAAAAAAAATCTCTTCATGGATGAGCATTTATAAAATTCACCGTTAAGCTTGTAGCGCAGTAAACGCTACAGGCACGAGATTGTGACTTTGAAAGGCGATTTGGCTGGATAAGTGCACACACTAGAAAGGCACGTTTTAAAGCAAGGAGCATTTGCTAGCTTGCACTTGTTGCCTTCACTAGCCTGTCACCCTCCCGCTAGAGCGTCAAAGGGAAACAGCCGACACCGACAAGCCTCAAGCACGTGCAGCATGCACGTGACGGCTAAGGTTACCAGGACTGTCCCGACTTTTCATAAAGCGTCCTGAGTTCCGCATTGTCCCTGTCGGGACAGCTTTATGTCCTGGATTTGGTCCAGACAGTAGAGTTAGAAATGTTATATGCGATCCAATGTACGCCCAACAATGCACGCCACTCTGCAAAACATGAAGTTCACACGAATCGCACAAACAATGCTGTGGTGTCTGGCGTTGGCTGCGAGGCTTTAGAATGCAAGAGCAATGGCAAGCCGGAAATCAAGCCGGGTGCCTGTTATCATCATTTGTATACACCCCTTGCACCTCCCTTCTCCTATCTCCCCCTCCCTCCCTCTCCTTTCCTTTCCTCTCTTCTCCTCCCCTCCCCCCCCCCACCCCCCCTGTTCTGACTTTCTTCATTGAAGAGTTGGTGACTAGTGACAGCATCTTTGGCAAGCTTGCAGTCCCTCAGTGCAGTAAGTGCGAAGTTGAAAGCCTGCCAAAGATACCTTCACGTGCATGCTGCACGTTTGAGACCTGTCAGAGTCTGGTGTTTCAGTTTGTCACTCTGGTGGGACTTGGGCACTAGAGAACCAAGTATAGGAGTCGCATATATTGCCAATTTGCTAAAATGTATGTTACTCTGGGCTGTCAGCCTTACAGACTCACAATGAACTGATTCACAGCTTTCACTCATCTTGCAAACAATGTGGAACTATCTTGGGCAAGGTCACCACTGATAGCTTTACAGGTGGCCCATTACCTGATAGCACGCGACTGATTTGAAATACCCGTTACATTCTCCATGTTTCTAAAAGTGTAGACCATTCCAATGTTTACAAAACATAATACTTCAGATTGTGATAACAGTCCACAGGCCTGCCACTTTGTCACGTGAGGGAAGTACATGCCAAGCACACAAATATCTACAACAGCAAGTTGCCAGAAGCCCTTCCATAGAACAGTGCATATTACACACTTCCTGGTACTGATAAAGTTGGTTTTTTTCCCCCAAGGTGAACATATTGATATGGCCAAAAAAACAGAAAAAAAAAATGTCAGCAGAAAAAAAAAAAAAAGGATTTATGAAGTTACCATAACCACCCTACAGGACCCCATCTCATAACTGCATGATGCCAGGGCATCAAATGCTGACCTGTTCTACCAGCCCATGGACCTCAGCTCTCGTGCAGATATGCACCCAACAACTTTCCAAGCTGCCTTTGCACACACAGCTTTAGTAGCACTTACAAAAGAAAAATTAAAAAGGTTAAAAAAAATGCAACTTCCCACACCAATTGTTAGGTGGCACAATGCCAGTTCCACTTCTCGTTGAACTTCCTTGTTGGCTTGCAAGCAGGACAGGAACTAAGTGTGCGTTTTCGGCGGGAGATGCCGGAACTACACTAGTGCAACGCAGGTACTCACCGGTGCAGGTGGAGGGGGGACTGGTTGAGCACCGTGTAATACTGCCGAACGAACTCCCGCCCTATGCAGAGAGCGGACGGCGCTTCCATGACCATGACTCAAGAGCCAAACGAAGGCTGTGGAGATGGAAGCAGTTCTGCAAAGTTGGGAAATTAAACGTGTTGGCGGGCAGTCTGAATTCCTTCCTAAAAAAGTATACGAGCCTGCAAAGATGGGGCGCATTCCTCAGAGGAGAATTGTCAGCAATGACCCGCAAGAGCTATGGGGGACTCAGGCATTGTCTCCCACCCTTGGGGCATCAGACGCAAATTACCTCATCATAGAATGCCCAAAACTACAACCATACTTTCGCATTTCTTTTTTTAGAAATTTGTAAAACCACAAAAAGGAGAACGGCAAGATCTACAGGAAAACATCATCGGTTCATGCAAGGTCTGTTCCAACACTTGGGACCGACGCGAAATTGACCAACTCTTTTCGGGAAAATCCTAGTCGAGTACCGACAGAAGGACAACTATCCTGCAACCCTCTCAGGGCTCAAGTATGTGTAAGGCCCAAAGCGAAGCATGGAATAGCGAGTGCAGCAGCATCGGCAACATCGCGTCAACGCCCGAAAAGATGGTGAACCCCGATGGTCGGTCGCTCTTTGTACTACGTCGCAGGCGCACCCCGGACACCTGCGCCACGGGCGCTGCTGCACTATTCATCCAGAGTAAATGCGCAAGGCAAATTGCGTTTTTCAAACGCACTAAATTTCACTTCAGCATGAAGGGGTACATACCGTCCTCAAATACCACAGCAAGATACACAGAAGGCAAAGGATACCCTAATGAAAACAAAAAAACCAAAACACGTACTGCAAGAGAGGACTGTTCGGGAGGAGAAATAAGCACCTGCAATGCGAATAGAGCACTTGTTTTCGAATATATGAAGAAAAAAACTCAAAAAAAGGTTAGGTAGGTTTTGCATGAGTCATACGTCGCATGCTTACTCGCCTGCACATGTGCCACTCATTTCACATCGCGAGCGCTTAACAAAGCTCGATTGGAGCCCGAAATGCAAGTGGAAACCCTACGAAAACTTAAATTGACCATAGATGTATATGCTAGCTAGGAAGGAGCAGAACGCTAAAAAAGGGAAAAACAGTTACCTTGCAGCTAAAAGAAAAAAACTACGCCATCCTTTGTGAGGAGAGAGCTAAAGCACAGCGCGGAATCGTTTGGGTTCGCCAAGTATTTAGTGAACTAAATTGTGAGATCGAAACCACAAAAGCCCCATCCAAAAATTTACATTGCAGGAAAAACGAAAAAAAATTTCTCCGATAAAAGATTTCGATGCAACACTCCGAAAATGCTCTCTTCTCTTGACGTTAGGCTTAGCCCTATTCTCAGTCTCTTAACACTAACAATTCTTCTAAGCAATTTATAAATTTTTTTCCTCGCTGTTTCTAAGAAACGAGACATTAATGCGGCATTCTAGCGGAACGCAGAGAAAAGAGCGTGGCTAAATTCGCTCACATTCGTACAGAAACATAGCTAACCCCCATAACCCAAACATCAAAAACCACTCACGCCGGTCAGTTCTGTAGATAAATCAAAGAACCCCGTAGTAGTCGCCAGTGTGATTTTTCGGCAACTTTTACCGTCACGTGGCGCTTCGCGCAACACTCGAATTTTCTCAAGTTTTCTCGAGATCAATCAAAATTCGTGAAAAGTTCGAGCAAACATTACAAAGTCGGCAATCTGAGAAATACTCGTTTCATAACAAAGCTACTAAGAGTTTTCCTGTTATACAGTCGGTTTTAAGCCTACCCAACAACGAAACTATACAAAATTAATAGAAATTGTTTACTTGTGTAAAAACCAAGAGAGAAAATGACATAAAAACACTCCATAAACGTGCGTGAGGATGGCTACAGCATATCCTGTTTTGCACCTGTAAGTTGTATCAACATACAGCCATCAAGGCTGTATGTTTATACAGTCTTGAAGGAGATGCGCCTACGTTGGGCAAGATTACTTTACTTTGAAAGTACATTGTACTTCAAGGGCAACTCCACTCAATTTTTTTTTTCTGCGGGGCGATTTAACATGGTGTCAGAAGATTACTATATCAATATTTTGCTACAGCATGACATATATTTAAAAAAAAAAAAAAGTAAAATAACGCAACTACTCGAAACCGAAACCGAAATTGGAATGGGGAAGAACAGATATGGAGGAGGAGAGTGTTGCCGGAAGTCACGTGGTTGGGAAACTTTTTATTTTTAATCAACGTAGTTACCGCTTTTTAGAAGCCACAAAAAATGGGTATCATACTTTCTACCTTTTTTAAGTGTTGAGTGTGTGCAACGAGGTAGAGGGCCTTAGTGTGATAAACTGGCAGCCGAATTAGTAACATGAACACAGAGCAGGTTCGCACAGATTACTTGAAACACGAAAGAACAAAACACATAGGGACGAACACGCACAGACATGACAGCTCTTTCAATTAGTAAGCCGCACTGCAGTCCACGATTTGCAAAATAGTGCGCGCCACCTTTCGCGCAACGCCAGAAACTTCGACATTTTGGGTGCGAGGCTGGAAGGTGGTTGGAAAACAACTAGGCTTCGTGATGCATGGTTTTGGTTTGCCTTGAAGCACGTGGATGTAAAGCTCTTGCCGCTAGATGTCTGTCCGTGAAACTCTTCGCCTTTTCCGGGTGCTGCAAAATCGACGTACCCGTGACAAAATGCGTGCTGCAGATCCAGCAGTGCTTGTCCGGCTGCCGTGGTGAGCTGTCCGTATTTCTTCTCCTCACGGCAGCTATCCAAGCTTCTTTTTTCGCAGGATACAGCCTGGCCGACGGAAATCTACTTGGCGTTCTGTTTGCCGTAGAAGTAATTCGTGCAACCAAACGCAACACAGTGGGCCGGCATGGCGACAAAGCGACTCGCAAACTCTCGCTCAACCGTACTCGCTTCCGCGCCTGCGCCTCTGTCGCAGCCTAGGAATAGCCAACATGCCCACATGTTTTCCAACCACACACATCTGCTCGCGCATGCGCAGCAGCTTTTTTGCAAATCGTGGATTGGCCATCGCCATGTTGCACATTTTTGACCACTAGACACGTGACCTTATAGTGTTACGTCTGGATTTTAATGAAGTATCCCATACAAATAATTGCTTATTGAGAATCGATGAGATAAGTTATGTTCCGTTTGTTTTAAGTCAACATAGTGCTTTTACGACAAAAACTCTGGCAGCTTCACAAATCCTCCACTAGATGCCAGCAGCTATGGTGCTGCCTTTTGCGTTTTATCATAGCTAGACACTAGCTGCGTTCAATTTACTATACACCTCCTGCACCGGTGCAGAAAAAGTGTAGGGCAATGTACTTCCGGACCCGGTCGCATCTCAATACAGATACCGGAAGTACACTGCCCTACGCTCTTCTGCACCAGTGCAGATGGCACAGGTAAATCATACGCAGCTACTGATCTCTGGGGCTAACAGTATTGAAAAGAAACTTGCAGCCTTTCCCCTCTGGTGAAGAAGGAAGACCAGCGAAGCTGTACTCTGATGGGACGACCTCAAGGACGCCGCCTAGAAGACGACGCGTCTAGGACTTCAAGGACGACCTCGAGGAGGACCTCAGGGACGCCTAGGACGACCTCAAGGCCAACCTCAAGGACGACCTTAAGGATGACTCCTAGGATGACCTCGAGGACAACCTCAAGGACGACCTCTAGGACGACCTCAAGGATGACTTCTAGGACGACCTCGGGGACAACCTCAAGGACGACCTCAGGGACGACATCTAGGACGAAATCTAGGACGACATCTAGGATGACGCCTAGAGAAATTCAGCCTTTCTACTTTGGTGAAAACCAGAGTGGAAAGGCTGCCGCCATCTAGGAGCAAGGCCGACAAGCCAGTTGTCTCGTTGCTGCCGCCGCACATAGATGGCGGTAGCTGTCCAGAGTTTTGTGTCGACATTTGTTAGGTACCGGACACGATCCTCAGGAACCTAGCCCTTAACAGCTCCGCTGTAAAATAGTTTATCATGTTTTTTATAGCGATCGCAATACAAATCTAGGCTCAGATTTGCATAAAAGCCTCAGGATTTGGTACGGTCCCGTGTCAAGCGCGCGGTCAAAATTGTACAAAACAGCGGCAGCCAAGTGGGAATCACTTTTGCCCCGTGAACGGGATGCCAGTTTATCGCACTACGATCTTGTTGAGTGTGTGCCTTCGATGACCAATGACTTTGATTATCATTGGTGGTTGCGTCTAAACCTTAGAAAACGGCCCGTGACCACGGAGAAGAGAGTGAGCGCAACTCAAACCGGCCGGTTCTCACTCGACAGTTTTCAGGCAGAAAGAAAAAAAATTTCGAGCTGCAAATTGTGCTCTGGGTGGTTGGGCGCTCATGTGTCACGTACAAATAAAAACCTCGGCGAGCATAAATACCCTGTCAGTGTCCCTTTAAAGACAAACAGAAATTGAAACCAATACTTCGGCTCTGTCCTACAACATGGCCACGGGCTGCCAAGAACATGGCTATAACGTGGTATGGTATGTCACGCGATCCTCTACGCAACGACGGGCAGGATTGGGGCAGGCGTGTGCCAGGTGCAAGTGTCATCTGCACCACACTCTTCACCACGTTTTGGCGTTTTCGACATTCAATGATGACTGCACAACTGCGGCATAAGTCTACGCACGTAGTGTGTGGACGAAACTCCGAGACAATGATCAGAAACTGGTGAGACGACAACGGCGGTAGTGACGCGGGAGACGGCGGTAACAGCGAGACCACGGCGAGGCGGCCGTACGGCTCCCACGAAGCGTGCTGTGCAGGCGCGTTACGCCAATCACGTGGACACTGCTGAGCGCCGAGAGGAAATGTTGCCGACGTCACCCATTATGCTGGCCCGGAGAAGAAAAAACAAGCAAAAGGCGCAATGGGGATGACGTTTAGCTCAATGTTGGCTGTGCCCATGCCATAGCCTTGACTGCGCCGTTATTGGTTGCGCCTCAATTCGCCCGCGCTCAAGTCAGCAGATTTCGGCAACTTAAGAGCTGCAAATTTCGCCGGTCTGTTTAAGAAATGGGCGGTGGAGAAAAGCTCACCGGAGATAAGCTCACCGGAGAAAAGCTCACCGCAATACCGGCAGATGCGGTGAGCGAATACCAACCTTTGAGCGGATATGGAGAGAAGCTCACCAATTCTTTTTTTTAACTTAGCGGATTCTGCGTTTAATGTTGCAATATAACTTAATTCGCATAAGTCACTTCATTAAAATATGTCCACTTCTTTGTATTATTCTTGAAGTTCATTGGGCATATTTATTAATTCATTAGAAATGAGTAATCACCCATTTTGTTTATTAATGAAGCGGAAAGTATAAAATCAAAACATTGTAGACCGGTAAAAAAGACAATTTATTGACAACCTGCAGTGTGCCGTCAGTAGCTCTGTTAAATAAAGAGGTTTGTTCTTTGCGAGCTAATATGAACAGCAGCGTGTGAACCGTTTTGGTTCCAAATATTGTGTAGTGCCGAATAGATAAGTAGGTGTTTGTTGATGTAATCAGTGTCGGCTACGCTGTTTTCTTTCTGTTAATTTCACTAACAAAACTTTAGTAGCGAGAACAGCTTCGTCCTGTCGTGTTTGTTGTCTTCACTCCGTCGTCGTCGTTTGAGCGGTTTTCATCATGCATGACCTTTACCAACTCGCCCTATTTGCTACCTTACAGAAGACTACTTCTTATATAGGTCACGAGTAACAACGTTGCCAGTATGCAGCTCTGGAGGTCATGGGTGGCTCGCCGTAGAAGGGCACTATCACACAAAGGCAACATGTGGAAACACCAGAACGGCTAGAAAACATGCTTCTCCATGAAAGAAAAAAGCCTGGATATCCTACTGACTGTTTTATACTGTTTTCAAAGGTTACCAAAAGCTTTAAAGAGAATTTCAGGCACCGCGTTGTTGCGCATGCACTTCGGATTTTCGGCATTTACAGTTTTGTTTTTAGGCAGACATTATTAAGTTTTCAAACTTTTCCCTGTTCTTCAAGTTCATAAAGTTTGAGTTGGGCTTTCGCTGCCCTACAGAGCAAGCAACAGAAAACACTCGCCCGTAATTATTAATTTGGGAGCAATATACCCGATAAGCTTACCAAATAATGAAAAAGGAGTTTCTTTCTTAGAAAGCTGACGAATTTTAATGATAAAAAGTGAAAGCCGTTTACAACGCCGAATTAGAGCGCAGCTCTTGAGGAGGAGGAGTGAAGGGTACTGGGGGGGGGGGGGGGGGGTTAAGTGACCTTGGGTGGGGGTCACGTGACGATGACGATGCGGATACTGATGACGTCATCAGTGACGTCACTGATGACATCATCAGTGATGATGACCATGACGATGCGGATGCCGGTGACGTCATCAGTGACGTCACTGATGACGTCATCAGTGATGATGACGATGACGATGCGGATGCCGGTGACGTCATCAGTGACGTCACTGATGACGTCATCGGGGGTCACGTGACTTGGGGAGCCACGTGACTTTGGGTGTCACGTGACCTTGGGGGTCAAGTGACCTTGGGGTGGCTTTGGGATGACCTTGGGGGTCAAGTGACCTTGGGATGACCTTGGTTACGCCGACGGCGACGCCGCTCAAGCCGGGAACGGGCCCCTAAGAGCTGCGCCCTAATAAATTGATAAATGTTACGCATAATCCAACAGCCTCCATGTAAAAAAAAGAAAAATAAATCAATGAGCTTTTCTCCGCATTTCTCCACAGAGCCAACGCAGGACGCACAAACAAAACCCTTACCCTGGAGTAAGATCAAGTAAATTTTAGAACATGGCCGATGTTAAAGACCGACGACCAGTTCGCGCTTTCAACTTTTCCCTCGCTTCCTCCTCTCCCGCCTTCTACCCTGTACACCGTTGCTGTTCCCTCCTCCCCCATGGTAAGGAGGATCTTCTGCCTTGCAGAATTTCGAGTTCAGTCGTCGGCCTTTGACTAAATCAAAAAATAACTGAAAAAAAAAAAAAAAAAAAAAAAAACTTCCTATGAGTCGACGTTTACCTAAGCCTAATTTTATCAGAACAAAAAATGACATTGTGGGCAAACTTGTCAGCAAGAAAGAAAACAATATCCTCTTTCTTGCTGATCAGTGTTTTTCACTGATATAAATCGCCCGAACAATTGCAACATCATTTCTGGTTTTGACGATATTAGGCTTAGGCGGACGTCGGTTCGTAGAGAAATTTTGTTTTTCTCAAGTATCCTTTAATCCAGGAAACATAATATCCTCAAACTTAGGCATTCTGTCCCAACCGCAACCTTCACATTTTCACAGTTTGAGCTTTCTGCAATGCACATGTTTATTTATCCTCTTTTTCTCAGGAACACTCTGTACTTTCCCTGATCAAGAAAGGTAAACCCGGCTTTTTAGTAGCCTGGAGGCATGCGGTTTAAAGAAGCTCGTTTTAGTGAACGCCGTTTTACCGACCCCGGTTTATCGAATCCCTTTATAGAGAACCCAGTTTAGAGAAAATGGCGATGAGCCTCCTTTTAGCGAATGGCCGCCGCGAAGCAGCGTGTACGGGTAAATCAGGCGAGTTCACATTTTTATAATGAGCCGCCGCAGACTGCAACCGTGAAGCGGCGGGAGCGCAGCGGGGGGCATGGCTTAACACGCGCACCAGTGATTCACGCGAGAAGTAAGAAAGCCTTTTTTTAAAAATCGTTCCCTTTTCGATAAACGGCGTTTCTCTAAACTGAGGCTCTGCTTTCTCTAAACCGTGCTTCGATAAAACGTGCCCATTCTCTAAAACATGCTTCGATGAAATGGCATTCGATTAACCGTAGTGAACCCTTTTTAGCCCGCATAAATAAACTACACATTGCAGAAAGCTAAAACTTCGTAACAATATAACGCTACCACTGGTGACAAAATTCAAAAGTTTGATCCCATGACTTTACCTGGGTCAAAAAATACAAAAAAAAAATTCTCTACGAGCCGAGGCTCACCTAAGCTTATTATTCATCAATCCACAATTTGAGATTGTGGATACCCGTAGCCAGTGAAATAACCGGCCACTTAGAATGACAATACTGTTTTCGTTCATGCTGACAAGTTTTTTCACTGACATTATTGCTACAGGCACCCACAAATCAAATTCTGGTTTGACGAAAATCTATGCGAAGAGCAAGTTGTCGGCGTCTTGCACAGCAGTTGCAGTGATGTCAGAAAGACGTTGAGCTCTGATCTTTGATTGAAAGGATAGCGGGTAGACCTCAATGCTAGAGGCATTGAGGTCAACCCGCTATTTTTCTCGATCAGCCAATGAGAGCTTGGAAGTTGGCATTATGACATCATCGCAACCCCTGTGCAAGAAGTAGACAAATTTGTGCTCCTCATAGGCTTAGGTGGATGTCAACTCGTAGAAAAAATTTTGATTTTTATTAGTAGGTATCTTTTGATCAAGGTAATGTCATGCGCTCAAACTTTTGTATTTTATCATCACCGCTAGCGTCACATTCTCAAAGTTTCAGAACTGAGTGCTAGGCTGGGGTATCTGCTAAGCCACCCTAGCCTGGTCAATGCTTTCTCTAGGAACCATCCAAGATGAAACAATACAACTAAGATATTTCATTTCGAGCAAGGCAGCCCAAAAATTATGTAAAAGAAAACATTCAGTAAAGCAGTAGATGTGTTCCACAAGCAATTTTTATCACACGATTGTCTCCCCCCCCCCCCCCTCCCCCCCGCCCCTCCCCTTGTTGCCCACGAAATATGGCTATAACGAAGGCCCGAGGAACATCAGAGGAACTGGAAGCCTGGTCCGAACCGCTGGTGCGGGAGAATGCCAAAACGACTGAAGTAAGGCCTTGATAACGCCGGATCGGGCATGCGGTGGGGTAACTCTGGAAGATAGGGTGGTGAGAACCTCGGAGGGCGAGCTGAAAAGATACAGGAGAGTAGCTTCACCGCAGGAGTGACATGTGCAGGGTAGACACTAAATGAGCTACGAGTAGAGTGTCAGTACTCAATTTCCTGATTACCTTGTGAGCACCGCCATTTTGGTGCTTAGTGCAAAGCGGGCACATTTGGCAGTGGCTACGATTTGAAAATGCGACTTCCTCAGCTTGACGTGTACAGTGGGAGGAAGCTCGAGCGACATTGGTTTTCTGTGGCGCAGACAGTTCTAACAATTCTGGAGAATGGAAAAGCGTTTCCCCAAATTTCAGATTAAGCTTTCGATTACTGGCAACAATTATTCTAAGCACCAAGATGGCTAGCCTTGGATACGCATTTGGCAGGCCTAATGCCCCTTGATAAAGGCGTTTTTTACAAGTATAACCAACCATGGTAGTGGAAACGCGCAAGACACGTGCCGCAAGCGGGTGCTCCATTGCTGCTGCTTCCAAGGGCCACTAGTTTCAGTGCATTTGCTTCCAAGGGCTGCTCGAGAGGTGGGCCTCATGCAGTGTTCAAACGCGAAGACAATGAGGCGCTTTAGGTGGGCCTAGCCGAGCTAGCTTTTGGCAGACCCTCACCTAAACTTCCGGTGAGCAGTGCCCTGTTACAAAGGAATCACCATTAAATCCAATCAAGAAAAAAAAAAGTCTATGACTGAAGTGTTGTTATTTGAAGCGTCTAGCTTATTTAGTGGTCCTAGCACAGGGCAATGGCACTTTCTAAACAAAGGGACAAATTTCTGAAAGATGCACTATACAAAAAAAATGCTGGCTATGCCAAGGAAAAAAAAAAGAGCTCTATAAAGAGGGCAAGTTGTCTGCTCCTTGTGCAGAGGTTGTGGTGACATCACAACGTCGCCGAGCTCCGATTGGCTTTGAGTGAAAAGATAGTGGGTAGACCTCAGTGCTGGATGCCTTGAGGCCTAACCACTATTTTTTTCAATCAGCCAATGAGAGCTTGGCGTTCTGGAATCATCGCAACCCCCGTGCAAAAAGCAGACGAACTTGCGCTTCACATTGATAACTGACATATTGGCTAGTAACTGACATGATGAATAACTGGCATAAATAATGTATAAAGAATGGACCTTTTCCACGTACCGACGGCACCAGGCGGTGGCTGCACAAACTAAAAATCGAGGAAGTGACCTACCTGTGCTATCAATCGATAATGGGAGCTACGCTACTAGTTTCTGCACTCTCTGAGCTGCGGCGCGTGACCAACACAACTTCAAAGAGGGGCATCCGTCGCGTGCACCCAAACGTCGTGTTTTTCCTGTCCACTTCCTTTTTTTGCGTAACATAATTATATATATGCTGCAACTACGTGTTCTACTCGCTGACCCACAGCCTCCTTCCGAATTTCCTAGATTTTTAGTGCCGACTTCCGCCACTTGGCACCGGGCACTTGCGCATGCGCAGAACGCTTCTCGGAAAAGGTCCATTCCACTACATTCTCTTTAAGAGTTGAAAGCTCAATTAAAACATTATTGGAACAAGACTGCAATGTCTCTTGTTCCAATAATCAATAATGGCTTCTCGGAAAAGGTCCATTCCACTACATTCTTTTTAAGAATTGAAAGCTCAATTAAAACATTATTAGAACAAGACTGCACTTGTCTGTTCTTGTCCTTTTAATTGTTATGAGCTTTTTCCAATTCCTGGAGGTGTAAAATCGAGAGGGGATCGGTGGTAGAATGTAATTTAATGCAATGCACTTCGGAGCACGTGGAGCAATAGGTCGCACTACAGAACCTAGTGACCCCGAGTACAATCCCCACCCATTCCTATCTAGATGAGCATCCTACTGGCACGCGGTCATCATGTACCACTAGTGCGTGATGCATGTTAGAGACTAGTGGTGGTACTCCGATGGCAAAATCTGAAGCGGAGACACCAGATGCCCATGGAGGCTTACTAACTTTTCGTTATCTAAACAAACATGCAACAGAATTACTGGGACCGTGAAAAGAAAAAAACATGTTTTTCTAAACAGTCTGGTTGGACTCGCGTGTTGAGAAATAAATTTTATGCGAAAGAAAAATATTTTTAGAACAATATTGACGGCGAGAGATTTATTTTAAATTCCGCGCACGAAGTCCATGATGTCACGGAATGGTCATTCGCTCTTTCGACCTCAAGAAGATGGTAATTCGCTCTTTCCACTGCAACGTGAAAGCGAAGCTGATCCACCTCTCCTCCACGAGCCTGAAATGCCGAGAGAGAAAACAAGTAAAAAGGAGGTGACTACTAACTAAATCGTGTCTCGCGCCATCAATATTGCTCTAAAAAAATTTTTTTTAGCATAAATTTCTTTTTTGACACTTGTGTCCCAACCAGACTAATCAAGAAAAAAAAATTTTTTTTTCTTTTCAGGGGCTTTTTAAGGCTGAATATGCCAAGAACAAAAAAACTCAACTGAAAACTGACATGATAGATATCACTGCATGAAGGATAGTGAACGAATTCCACTACATTCCCTCCAGGAATTGAAAACTTAAAACATCATTGGACAAAGACCGTCCTCGTCTGTCTTTGTCATCTTTCAATTGCTGGAGGTGTAATCCAACATATTTAGTAAATTCTTCAACACTACATTTTCCTTTTCTTTACAAAAAGATACGAGAATTTATTTAGCATTAAAGTAACTGCTGACCTCGTTCAATGGGAATACTATACCCAAAGATATGTACGTAGCCTGTTACCCGTTTCAGTTACCAGTCAAAGCTAAACGCATGTTTTCCAAGTTTACGGAATGTTATGGAAGCCATGGTAAGTGGCAGCCAATAAGAGAACTCTGTCCACGACTGGCTAAGCCTCAGTATGCTCTTAGCTCATGTACACTCACTCAGTCCCCCTGATGCATCCTTCTCTTTGTCCTATTGTGCCCCATCAAGCACAAGATATATTAAAACAATAAACAAAATCTGACAATGCACAATTAAGTATCAAATCACATAATGTAATATGTCCCAAACACCTTGTGAATAAAGTTTACAGATAAAAAAAAAAAAAAAAAAAGAATTAAAACTTAACAAGCTAGAAATTAAGCTACACCTCTAATGATCAGCGCCGTTTTTTCGGACAAAAATAATTGGGTCATCGCAAGACAACACTAAAAGAGTGGCCTCAATGGCTACCAGGTCTTCAAGCGCTCTCTATGCTTCCTTTCCCCCAAGTACTCGGAACGTAGATACACGCGTACCGGCCCTAGCTGGCCTTCAATCTTGCCTAAAGATAAAAGCATACCTACAATGCGTCCCAGCAGCTCAGATGTGACAATGTCTAGCTACAATGCCAATAACGAGCCCCAGAACCCGTCGTTTAGCCAACATACCCTATGTCGGCATGGTTGCGGCCCCCCTAATCGGACGCAGGTCATGTATCTTGCTATGGTGGGCTAGAAAGGGAAGTGTAGCGACCGCTTACTTCTCCCAGAGGCTGAGAGCGGTCCCACCACTCATGCCTCATGTGTCACTATTATCGCGGTACCACCTGTAAGCTGGCAGCAGTGCCATAACGGCAAAGACCGGTTAACTCTTTGGAAATTAGATTCTAAGTACAGTAAAACCTCGTTATAACAAAATGGGATATAACAAACTAATGGATATAACAAAGCAATCATAATTCCCCTTGCTTGCTAATAGGGAAGAAATGGACATTGGCTATAACAAACTAATGGTTATAACGAAATAATTACGATCGCTCTTTCAACTTTGTTATAACGAGGTTTTACTGTATAACGAAGCATGCGAGAAATAGTAGGCTGGCGATAATTCAAACTCTGATATTTCATACTTCTCGTTCATTCAAACAAATTTAAAAATTTTGGTTGTCCCGCTGTTTTTAACGTACAGCGTGTCCCACAAAAATATTTGTTTTTTAACAACAAAAATGAAATATGCACTGCCGAACACTCATTCTCTGCCCAAAGGTAGCACTAGAGGTCTGACCCAGATGCCAAAGTTTCAGCGCTAACCGTTATCTTATTCAAAAGTTATAAGTGATTTTCTAAAATTTTCGATGGAAAAATGGGGTTTATTTTTGCCTGTTTTCGGTAACTGGTGCCATAGGGCTCCATCCATGTATACGAGAGCTCAGTCGGCTGCCATTTTCCCATTGAAAATTTCAGAAAATCTCTCATAACTTTTGAATAAGATAACGGTTAGTGCTGAAACTTTGGCGTCTGGGTCAGACCTCTAGTGCTACCTTTGGGCAGAGAATGAGTGTTCGGCAATGCATAACTTACTTTTCTAATAAAAAAAAAAAAAAGTAATCTTTTTTTTTTACATTCTGTATTTACAAGTTGCTTAATTTGAACAGCATTCTCGTGCAATTCATACTTCTCGTTCTCGTGAACGATGTTTTTATCGACAGAGAACAGTCTCTATGGCCATAAACAGTTGAATGTTCATAAGCGTAGTTGGATAAACTATGAAAGCCCTCAAAAATGCAGAAAAATGCTGCCGCCCCAACAGCATACTTGGAATGCGGTCCCGCTTCTTACCGAGCACCAGTACACTGTGGAACGCAACACCCACAGGGCTTGCTTCCACAGGTGTTGCTTCTCCGCAGTGCAACGGTGCTCGGTAAGAGGCACGCTCAACGGGGCTAACAGTCCCCAATAGATAGCTATTTTGCGGGATGAACAAACTTTATTTTGTTTTCAGGCACCATGTGCTGCCTACACCAGGGGTCTCGAACTCATTCGAATGTGGAGGCCAGATGGCCCACCACCAAAAAGTTGAAAGCCAATGAGAAGCAATATTTGGTATTTTAGGACAAAAAAACCCCAAAAAACCAGATATGATGCTTTACGTTGCAAAGCAGCCGACTCCCCCAGCGCCATTCCAGGGATTTTCTTGAGGTCTCTGTTTTTTGTACGCTCTCCGTTTTTCCAGTGACATCTTTAGCCTTGATTTGCATGTACATCTAGTTTGGGCCCACACCTTACGTGTTAACCAGATTTAAAAAGTCAACAT